TTCTAGCCTGGGGGAGGGGCACTGACCCACAGGTTGGTGGGGGCAGCCTCCCTTCTCGGCTTCGATTTAGGTGCCCACAACTTGGGGAGCTTGCGGACCCGGCACAAAAGGCGTTGGGAGAAGAGGAAGGGACAGAGCGAGGAGAATGTTGGGATGTGGGGGGGTGTTCAGGACACCGGGGCCCCGAAATCCTCACCCTGAGCGAGGTCCGGCTTCACCCCCACTCCCCAGTATTGATAGTCCCCAAAAGCAGCCCTTTCGGGCAAGAGAAGAATCCCAATGAGACAGTGAGAGCCACAATCATCCCTGAGACAGGAGCCTGGGGACTGCGACAAGAACCACCCCTGCCCCCCAGGCCCTTTTTCCAGCACTTGCTACTTTTTAGATAAGATTTCCAGGCCGGGCAGGTGCGGCGGCTCACGCCTGTAATCCCAGCACTTTTGGGAGGCCGAGGCAGGCGGATCACCCCGAGGTCAGGAGTTTGAGACCAGCCTGACCAACACGGTGAAACCCCGTCTCTACTAAAAATACAAAAATTAACCGGGCGTGCTGGCGAGTGCCTGTAGTAGTCCCAGCTACTTGGGAGGCTGAGGCTGGAGAATTGCTTGAACCTGGGAGGTGCAGGTTGCAGTGAGCCGAGATCGTGCCATTGCACTCACTCCAGCCTGGGCGACAACAGCAAAATTCCGTCTCAAAAAAAAAAAAAAAAAAAAGATTTCCAGGCCCCTGACTCAAGAACCCAGCAGGCAAGCACGGCACAAGCAAAAGCAAAGTGGAATATCACAGTCAGCAGATCACTGTCACCGGGCCCCTGGCCCGAGACCCCAGCATGCACCCCCTGCCCCAGCCTGGCTCACAGCACCTGAGTTCATTGGCTTCGTGGCTCTAGCCCCAGGGATCCGATGTGCTGGACTCACAGCTGCCCAACGCACCCCCAGAACCGGACAAAGGGACCCAAATTGGTCATGGGAAAAATAAAAAGGTGAAGTTTTTTTTTTTTTTGCTTTTTTTTTCTTGCTTTTTCAAGACCAGTTTCCCTGAAGGAACACAAATATATAGCTATATAGATATATAGATATCCTTTTCCTAAGGTTTGATCCCCCCAAGAATAAAATAGAATATTTACACAACAAAACCCCTGAAACCTCTTAAAAACCCTATGGAGAAAAAAAAAAAAAAAAACATTTCCCAAAGCAACAAGAAAAAAAAAAAAATTCAGTGATCTTAGTTCAGGGGTCTCACTGGACACGAGAAGCTGGGAGTGGTGAGTGTGTGGTGAATAGAAACTAAAAGAGAACTAAAGCAGACAAAAATGAAAACACACAGTGCAGGGATGTTTGAGGTAAATGGGATCGGCCCACGCTGCAGTGGGGCCGAACCAGACACCAGAGCCTTCGGTCCATCAGGGCTGCCGGAATGCCCTGAGAAACGTCTGCCTCTTTCTGTTTTTCTGATGGATTTCCTTTGCTGTTCTCACAATTCATCTCTCTGAATGTCCAAAACCTGAGAAATTCAAGTGTTCCTTGGTTTTCCCCTGTTTTATTAAATTTTCTTTATATATATACGTATATATATATATATTTTTTTCTCTTCTTTTTGGCGTCAGCTGTGGCTCCTTTCTGGGTATCTTCCCTCCCCACCCGTATCTTCCGCCATCCTGGCCCCTGCGTGGCCCACCTGGACCCCCTGCCCAGGCCGGCGGGCTCCGGGGTGGGTGGCGGGTGGGGAGTGATGCAGTGAGCCGAGATCGTGCCATTGCACTCACTCCAGCCTGGGCGACAACAGCAAAATTCCGTCTCAAAAAAAAAAAAAAAAAAAAAAGATTTCCAGGCCCCTGACTCAAGAACCCAGCAGGCAAGCACGGCACAAGCAAAAGCAAAGTGGAATATCACAGTCAGCAGATCACTGTCACCGGGCCCCTGGCCCGAGACCCCAGCATGCACCCCCTGCCCCAGCCTGGCTCACAGCACCTGAGTTCATTGGCTTCGTGGCTCTAGCCCCAGGGATCCGATGTGCTGGACTCACAGCTGCCCAACGCACCCCCAGAACCGGACAAAGGGACCCAAATTGGTCATGGGAAAAATAAAAAGGTGAAGTTTTTTTTTTTTTT